AGCTTATATTGTTTGTCAGAATATCTACACATGGCCTCCATCAGAGTAGTCTCAGGACTTGTAACATGGTGTCTCAGGGTTCTCAGAGGGAGTAATCCAAGAGACAAGAAGAGGCTGCCAGGTTCATGGGCCTGGGCATAGACACTGGGAGAGCATCATTTCTACTTTGTTTTGAAGGTCATAGCAGTCACAGAGTTTGCCTGAATTCAAGAAGTGGGACACAACCTCCATCTCTTTGCGGGAGGTAAACGGAAGAATTTGTGGGCATTTTTATTCTGCCACAAGTGACATCATGAAGGGCTGTGCAAGTCCTATTAAGGCTTTTGATCTTGGTCTTAAGAATAATGAAAAGCCATTTAAGAATTTTAAAGGTTAGAGGGGTATGACATAATTGGGCTTGCCTTTTGAAAAGACCACTCCAGCTGCAGTATGAGAATGCATCGGGAAGGAGGACATAAAAAATTGAATGGTCCTTTGTTAGTTCCTCTTTCTCAATCCATATCATATTATACAGATTCGTGTGAGCATTGCTATGGTAGCTTGCCCTAAGGTGATGACAGTAGAGATAAAAGAACTGCAGATTCTTGAGATATTTGGATATAAAATCAATTAGCTGATATTTCCTGAAGTCCATTTACAGCATAACCTTGTCTCCAGCTAGTTAATAAAATTACTTCTTGGGAATCTTTTTAACAGTATAATCCTGAAACCTAAATATTACTGTAACTTATGTATATTTACTCCACACGGCAATGTTCACTAACCTCCATAAAGACCAGCCTCCGAGTAAAATAGATAGTGGTCAATATAATGAAATCTGAGGATTCCGCCCAATAGTATCCACAATTAAGACAACATGTTTGAATTACATTTGCAGGGATTGATAAAATTCTCTTTTTAGGATGTCAGGAAACACTTGGGAATGATCACTTATTCATTAGATAAATATTTGAGTATTTGCTCTACACCAGGCACAGTTCTAGCCAAGGGAGTTATAGCAGCAAGCAAGACAAACCAGGTCTCTGCTCTCATTCTGCTTACATGTTAATGAGGCAGACAGATATAAACAAGGAACCGAGTGATAAATCAGTGACATAATCCCAAGTAGTGATAACTGCTATAAAAGAAATGAATAAGAGAGAGGGTCTACAGAGTTCTTACTGGGTCTGCTCTAAATACAGCAATCAAGGAACTGCTCTCTGAGGAAGTGACATTTGAAGTAAAATCTGAATGAAGAGAAAGGGCTAGGTGTAGGAAGATCTAGCAGGTCAGGGGAAAGCTCTCAAGCCAGAGGGAACAGCAAAGGGCACCCCAGGGACAGAAAGGAATTAGCATTGCAGGGCACCCAGAGAAGACCAAAGTGGCCTACGCATCTTGAAAAGGGGAGAAAGTGACATAACAAAATCAGCAGGAGTATATGACATAGGGCCTTGACAGCTAGGGTTAAAAATTTTATTACTAATTCAACAACAGTGAGATGTCACTGGAAGATTTGAGTGAGCCCTGGTCATTCACACTTGAGCATGGATTATTTTAACTTGACTCTCTCAAAATTATTTTAGATCATCCGAAATTAATAATTAGGTGAGAAATTAGGCAGGAAAGAAGGTGGAATAACTTTGGAATTGGAGAACTGTTGCAGAAAGCATACCCGGGTAGTGATTTGCTCTGGAAGACAATAGACACGGTCTGCACAAATCACCCACAAGATTAGGAATTTTGCTACACTAAAGATATCAAGTTGAGGGAAGAACAGTTAGCTTTCTTTTCCTTTTCTCTCTTTTTTTAAAGTTTTTTTTCAAACATTTGCCGACGATGAAACTTTAACAGGGGGTGCTGGGAGGAGTAGGATCCATTGTGTGTATATATACATATATGTATGTGTTACGGCTTACCCTGAATACCCAGTCAGCCAGTCACCAGATAACATCTACCGTGTGTCCTGGAAGTCAACAGTGCTACGTGTAGCTTTTCAGCATCGACATCAACCATTTCTTAAATATTCAAATTTTTAAAAATATTCGTATTTTAAAATAAAATGTTTTCCCCTCATTCTACAATTTTTGTATAATATTAAAAGTAGCTATCTAGGGGTGCCTGGGTGGCTCAGTCGTTAAGCGTCTGCCTTCAGCTCAGGTCATGATCCCAGGGTCCTAGGATCGAGCCCCGCATCGGGCTCCCTGATCCGCGGGAAGCCTGCTTCTCCCTCTCTCATTCCCTCTGCTTGTGTTCCCTCTTTCGCTGTGTCTCTCTCTGTCAAATAAATAAAATCTTTAAAAAAAAAAAAAAGTAGCTATCTAATTAGATTTGGCTAATTCTATATTTTCACTACAACATAGTTACTTTGCAGTATCTTTATAAAGGGCTGTTCTACTCTAAGAAAAAGCCTGGTTTGGGGTTTAAAAAAAAAAAAGAAGTCTATATGGAGTTGATGAATCACTAATGTTTTTATTAATATAATGTTAATAATTAGAGCTCTAAAATCAGACTATTTGTTTTTTAACTTACTTTTTTGCCCTTATTCAATAAATGTATTACTGGGCTCTGGTCCACCACCACCCACAAATCCCATAAAAATTTGTTTAGATTTTCTTGCTTTACCAGCATAAAGCCTGATCAGAGCACCTTGATTAGAGCACATTGTTGTCCTTTTATCTGAATGGCAGTTGCTGACACCATGGTTATACACAAAAATAAATATGGCTGAAAAAAAATCAATATCATGACCTGATTTCTTGTGTAAGAATTCTACAGTTTAAAAAAAAAGACAGGATCGTTGCTTAATAAGCCAGTGACTCATCCCTCTTGGCATAAGTGGACTTGGCAAGTCCATTTAGGTTATGTTCGTGGTTGATTGTCAGTGACTGTTATTTCCCAGGTGATCTGTGGATAGTATATTTTTACATATGACAGTTTTAAAAGGTTTTGAAAGTACTGGAAAAATAATAGCAAATGCTAAGCTTACTTACGTGTGCCTCGTTCAGTTAAATTACAACCCCCTTTATGAATAGCTCAGAAAGTATTCTGAAGATCAAGATTTTCTTCTCTGGGCCTAAGTGGAAAGAAACATCACTGATGACAACATTATGCTAGCCCTGATTCATACCAACTTGCAAGAGCGAATTCTTATATTTTGAGGTGTTTTGTGAGCCCATTATCAAACACAGCCATTATTATAAAAGATATAAACTTCTAATTAAATAAATTATATTAAAAACAAAGGTAATAAATACTTAAAACTCTATCCTTCCTCATCATTTGACTACAGTTTACTTTCCATACTCTTGAGGTTGTTTACAACAACTGTACTTGCATGGTCAAAATACTACCGAATGGTATTGCTCCTTGCCCATCTCTTTTCAACTCCACATTCGCGACATCAGCCTGGTAGCTGGAAATAGGCCATGGTGGAAGTATTTACCTAGTGTTAAAGTTGAAAGCATTTTAATTTAATGAAAATAATTTATATGACAGTGTGGAAAATGGTTCAACAGTAAACCACAGAAGAGATGTAATGATAATAAATTTATTGGGGAAAGAGCAGATTGGGATGAAACTCAATGCATGATTTTGTCAAATCATGATTGACTCGCTAGCTATGAATACAAGAGTTGGACCAAACTCAACAAAAGCATTCTGTGTGAATCAAATGACTATATGGAACTTGAAATAAACAGCATTGTGTATTTTATTATTATTTTTAGATTATTTATACCAGTAAAAATCATGATAAACACACCTACATTTTTATGCATACTTTTTGCCCTGAAGAGTCCCTTGTTAAACATTAGCCAGACACTACTGGTTCTACAGGAAAGATGAAATTTGATAGGTAACTTAAAAGCAGCTGTTTTAGAAAGTTGTAGTGGAGAGCAAGTTTGTCTCTTTGTTAACAGTCTGTTAAAAGCAGTGTGTGTTCACACTCATACCAATTTGGCTTATCAATTTTGAAAAGGGTTTTGTTTCCATTTTTAATTTGAAACTCCTCTGATTGGAAAGAGAACCAGAATGTCAACCACATGAAACTGTAAATAGACACTTTTGCTCAGCCTAAAGTATCATGGCTCTCACATAGGGTTTGGGGAATATTATTTATTTATAACTATGACCTACCAAAAAAATGATTTTTTAACCAAATCACTGGACCCAGTCTAATTTATCTCAGCTGAGTATTTTCACCTTTTTTTTTTTAAGATTTTATTTATTTATTTGAGAGAGAGCGCACATGAGAAGGGGGGAGGGTCAGAGGGAGAAGCAGACTCCCTGCCGAGCAGGGAGCCCAATGCGGGACTCGATCCCGGAACTCCAGGATCATGACCTGAGCCGAAGGCAGTTGCTTAACCAACTGAGCCACCCAGGTGCCCAAGTATTTTCACCTTTAAATGCACCAAAAAGGCACATGAATATCCAGTCAAGAATAATGTCTACTTGCTTCATGAGCAATTTGACACACTCGGGGAGCCCTTTCACTGACCTGCAGGGAGCGGGATTGCTGAACACATCCAACCAGTAAATGGCCTGTGGCCCAACCACCTCAGAGAAGGAAGTTGCCAGATCACACCATGGTTTTTAACCACCTGTTACGTATTTCGACAGAAACCCTGCCCCGACATGTATCAAATGATCTCTGTACATAGCAGTAATAGAAAGTACCAAACCCTGGTGTCCCATTGTATGAAGTTTCATCAATTCATTATCCAGTATGATTTATTTACAGAAATAGTCATTCAGATGGACTTGGCCGTTGTTTTATCCAAAAACATGTCGGATCCCTTATTCTGCAAAAAACTCCCCCAAATGGTTTGAGTGGGGGAAATGAAGACACCATTTAGTCTAATCATGGACTGAAAATTACTTTGTTCTCAAAGTCGATGTTTGTTTAGTAAAATCCCCAAAATGCCAGCAAAAACTCTAGATCCGAAGCATGTGTGTGTTTTGAGAAGACCAGAAGAGGTCATTTGGGTCCATTATATAACTGCCACTTTTTGTTTTTATTCAAGGTGTCATAAAACTGAGTTCTGCAGTTGAAGGTACGTTCTCACCACCACAAAACCAATACTGTTTTGCTTGAAGGTTGCCTCGCGTGGCTTTGTAGGCAGAAAGCATCTGTGGCAGCGGTGTGTGGTGCCTGTTCTAATCGCCTGCTGTCAGCCTTCTGTCTGTGTCTCTCCTTGTTCTGGTCATTTTATGCCATTAGTCTCTCAGGCCTCCACAAGTGGCATGAACACTGACCCAAGAGGGCACCTTTAGGAGAGCAAACGTGTCTGGTTCTGTTCCCTGGTGTGATTGCCTCCGATCCAGGGCTCTTTACAGATCCCCTTGCTCTCCAGCAGCCTTATTTGAGGCTGAACATGGAGTGTTGCCAGGAAACTTGCCCCCCATTCTCTCAGCAGGGCCTTCTCTCTACAGTGTTCTGGTCCCTCATCCCAACATAGCCAACATGCTTGCCCAAGGAGGTGGCGCGGAGTTGTTCAAGCTCCCTGATGAGAACACTAAGTGGCGAAGGCATTGACAAAGCCTCAGATACAGCTTTTTCTTGGGCAGTGCGATCCACCAGCCCCAGGAGGCATTGGGAGGACCAGCTTCCTTCAGTGGAATCTTTGCATCTCCCATATCTAGCGAGCGGCAATCCCCTTAAGTCGTGCATCTGGGAAGCTAAGAACAGGGGGAAGGGGGTTCAAGGAAAGAGGATTGGTGTGGGAGAGGACAGCAGGGTTTTGCTAACCCCCAAGAACGTTAAAAATAGTCCGTCGTCTGAAATGATTGGTTATTGGTATAAAATTGATCTCCTTATCCTCGTAGAAGCACACAGTCCGCAAGTAGCGAATGTGTCATTTTCCCTTCTTGTGAGTTTCTGTGTTTGCTTTGGGTGTGTGTGTTCTCATTTATCGGGAGTCTGTCAGTCATGCTTCGGAGGTTCCTTCACCCCTACTTAATCAGGGGAGGCTCCTTGGAAGAGGTGGTGGGCTTTCAGGTGAGTCTTCACATTTAATGGGAGCTGTGGCTTGATGAATGGGCAATGCATGGAGGTGGGAAGTGGAAAAATGCCAGGGGGTAGGAGTGGTGAGACCATCTGCTTAATTCAAGCAAAGGGATTGGATGGGCTGGGGTTTGAAGACTGGGAGATGAGGGAGGAGCTCAGTCACACACCCACGGGACTGGCAGACCCGAAATGGGGAACTCTGTGCCTTAGGTAGATATAGTACCTTCACATTTTACAAAACAAAGTTGAAAAGGCTGTATTTCTGACAGTCACGGTGGAAAGGATGCCGCTCTTCTCAAGTAAGCAAAGGGCCAGGAGAAGGTGCAGGCAGTGGTGTTGGCAGGTTGAGAAAGGAGCAAAATGATGTCACACTAAGGGCAAGGGAGGGTACTGTGTGAGTTCCAGGCCTCTGTGAGGCCAAGCAGGAGTCGAGTTTCCTCGGCATGGGAACATGCAGTCTTACTGAGAGACTATCCAAGCCTCTCCCGGCCTAACAAAACAGAGACACAGCAACAAAATGAAGCAGGTCCCTAGAATGGCCTTGTCTGCAGAAACTCCCCGTGGCAAGGGAGCCGCTGAGTTTCAGTTAATTATCTGTAGAATTCCAGATAACAGTTGGTCCACCCTGGGCTGTTTTGATGTTTTATCAAGGAATGGCTTTGAAGTCCGAGCTTTACGTTGCCTGTTTGGCTTAAGCACCCTATTCCACTTGCAACAAAAGGATGGAAAGACAAAATAAATGTTTTCAAAAGCCAGGAAGCCATGAGAACTTTAGATAACTTAAAAATTTTTGTTCTGCTGAACTATTATTCCGTTCATCATTTTGCTAGTAACTCCTGTCACTACTGGGTAGCATAGCCTAGCTGAACCCCCCAAACAGGTTTGTGTTGTCCAGAGAATGATGAGAGCCAGGAAAAACAAGGCAAACAGCAGAATGAATACTTGAGGGCTTTTTCAGCAGCCTCCTTATCTCTTGGCTTCCTCTGAGCCCCTGGGGCTCATGGGAAGTGCGCTGGGGCAGCTGTGGGTATCAGAGGTCGGGCCCACTTCGACTGCTGCTTGAGCATCTTTGGGGCAGCTTCTTGGCTGAGGGCTGTGGAAGCTGGAAGGCTTGGGAGCATGCTCTGTTGTAACTGTGTTAGAACACGTGTGCTCAGGGGGCTGTCTGGAGTGCAGTGTTGGGTGGGGGGGGGGTGTGCGTGTGCCCAACGCATGCATTCTTGGTGCATCTGGAATGTGAGATTTTTGACCAGCATGCTTAGTGGAATGCGTGTGAGACTATCTCTTGGTTCGAAATCAAACCTCAGACAGTAGTCCTTATGAATGCTTAGCTGATTACTCTACTTGCTATTTTCCATCTGTGGTATGAACTTAAGGCAGCTTCCTCCAGCTAATCATGTCAAGGAGTATATAAATCAGTGGAGGGGATCCATGCCCGAAATGAAACCTACCTTTTCTTTAGGAATGACTTTGTTTTGGGATTATTGTAGAACTCTAAAAATAACAATTAATTATTTTAGGTAGCTTGTCTTTTCTTTTTAAGGAAAAACAATTCTCAAAGCTGTAAGAGAAAAATCAACAAAGATTCCCTGTGCTACTTCCCACCAAGTGTTTTTGTCATGCAACTTTCTTCTTTCTTTCTCTTCAGCATTTTGCAGCTTCACGTAAGCTTTTTAAATCAGCAGAAAGAAAAAAGCTATTTATATCGCATTAATGGTAAGGTTAAAAGTCAAATGTCCTTTCACGTTTTAAAGACTGAAAATTATGCTTAAACAGTAGCACACATCAATGCTGTCGTGATTTTGCAATGAAGAAAAATATTTGACCAGAAAAAAACTTAACTTTGAAAGAAATAGCTGCAGAGTTTTATCGATAACACCGATGAATTCCCGACTCTAATTTTTGATTGATAATCCCACTGGGAGAAAATCAGGGTAAGAGAAAAAAATCCAGAAGCAAACTAGGAGAAAGGGGAGGTGGGAGGTGTTTGGGCATGGTAATGGGAGAACTTTTTCATCCAATGGGGGCAAAACCATTCTGTACCACGAATTCCATGATAGAATCTTCTAAATATTCCTCTTAGAAGGGATTTTCCCTCTTGAAATTGAAGCAGGGAAAAGGCAGGAAGCCGGGCACATATTTCCACAAATAGGACCAGCACACCACCTCATCAAGGAGAAACGAGAACGCAGGTCATAAAGAGCTGAGTCATGCCTGAGTGAGGCCTGCCCTGACATTCTATAGGTAGCTCCTTCTTTCCAGGGAGTAAGGGTCCAGCCCCAGACAGCAGACGCGCAGTGTGTTCAGACATGCGGCAAGGGGAGCACTCGGGAGGAGGCATCCAGCCTGCAGGGACAAGATGAGACAGCAGAGGCTGATGACAGGCCCTGGTGACTGATAACCAGGGTGTGTTCTGCGAGGAGAACTTGCCTCAAAAGTGATTTGTTTAGACCACATAGGTAGGTGAGAATCCAAAATACCAAAATGGCATCAAATTCTTTTGAAAGCCTATACAAGGGAACGAAGTTTGGCTTTTTTGGAAAAGTTCCATGTCTTCACAAATGGGAACAGATGAGCCACTATGAAAAAAATCTAACAGACAAGATGGTTCTCCAAGCCCTGGCCTGCAATCATCTCCTGTGTGGGCATGCTGTGGGGCTTCAGTTAGCGGTAGAAGTGAAACCTGTATGAACAGTAAAATCTCCTATGTCTCCATGAACTTTTTCATCCAATGGGGGCAAAACCAGCTTCCATTTCATCAACAAAAGCTCCCCTGGCCATGTGGAGCTTTTGTTTTCCTTTTTTCTTCTTGTCACTTCATTTTATTTAGATAGGTTTTAAGTATCTTACTTCTCCATGGTAATGGCTCATGAACCACAATCCCCTTCAGGGCGGGGGGCCTTAGGACTTTTGTCACATCCGAGGTGGTGCTTTCTATGGCCTCATAGCCTCTGACCCGTAAAATGAAATGACTCTTCAGGCATAGGAAGAAAATAAGTAAAAGCTTTAGTCAATCTTTGTTCCCATTTTCAAAATTCGTAATACCCACAGCTTAATGTCTATATTGTAAATCTATAAAAACTGGAGCTGTGCTTCCGACACGAAGCTATGATCTGGATTTACCTGCATGTTGAATAGTGAAATACTGTTTTCCATAGTATGACATGCAGTGTATCTCAAAAAATCCCTGTCAGAGTTCATTTGGGCTGCTGCAATTTGGTGGCTTCCACAAGAGATTTCTTTCTCACCGTTGAGAGGGCTGGAAGTCCAAGATCAAGTCACCCGCAGATTTGGTATCCGGTGTGGCCCCTCTGCTGCTGAGTTCTCACTGTGCCCTCACATGGTGGAAGTGGGGGAAGCTCTCTGGGATCCCTTTTATAAGTGCCCTAATCCCATTCATGAGGGCTCCACTTTGTCTTATTCACCTCCCAAAAGCCCCACCTCCTAATACCATCACCTTGGGGGGTAAGGTTTCAACATGTGAATTTGGGAGGACACAAATGTTCACACTATAACAACTCCAAAGGAATTTAACATTTAAAATATATTCCAAATTTATTAATGTCACTTCCTCCCTAGCTGAATTTTGTTGTCATTGTGTCTATTTTTTGAGCAAAGCCCGTATGCTCAGTTGTCAAGTTAGACGGGGGTAAATCCATTAACAAATAGATAGCTGATGGACCTATTTCTAGTAATAAATTTAGAATGAGGTCTCAACATTTTTACCGCGGGAAATCAAAACCAAACATCTTTTCAGACCTTTAAGTCAGATAGCTACAGGGAGGGAAGGGAAGGGCTGCCTGGGGGAAGGGGTTCCTCCTGGTTCCACCAGAAGGAAAGGCAAAAAGCAGTGTGTCAGGAAGCTAAAAATGGAATATTGTAGAAACTGAAATCAATACTCAAGAGAGGTGTTTCTTTTTTTTTTTAAGATTTTATTTATTTACTTGACAGAAAGACACAACGAGAGAGGGAGAGCACAAGCAGGGGGAGTGGGAGAGGGAGAAGCAGGCTTCCCGCCAAGCAGGGAGCCCGATGCAGGGCTCCATC